GGATACTTTTAGAAATAATCATGGGGGTGTTGAGAGGGGGCAAAGCGGACAGTTGCAGGGCCCAATTTCATTATATATTTTTATTTAAAAATACAAATTTATAACAAAGATAAAGGTCATTTTATTCTTATTCGTCTTGAGCTTTTGAGAATATTTAATTTTTCAGGACCGGCTCAGGAAATAATCCCTATAAATATCCTTTAAACCTTCTCATTTTCATAAAATGTTTATGACACTTTTCAGTGGTTTGGTATGTTATCCTTTAGACACTATGATTCTCGAATATCATGAATGAGTAATATACCAAAATGAAAGTCTAACCGATGCGGCATTTTAATTTATACACAAGTTTTTGGTTTGTTATACATTGTGTACATTCATGAATTACACTTACATGATAGAGGAATGTTCAAGATTTTAGTGTCACCTAACATTTTGGGTAATGGAATTAACACAAGTGAGGAATGAATTTTAGACTATGATTTTATATGATTCAAATAGATAAAAGGTATGCTTGTATAATACCCGCACATGACGAAAGGTGCGGTACAAGGGACCGTGCCCCATAAAGGATCAAAGTTAGACAAATGAGATAAAGTCAACTTGGAGCTAAAATAGGTAATGGTTATAAAGAAATTGCTGCAAAACTTCATACAATAAGTAGTGGAGATAAAAAATAAAAAGATAAAAAAAAAAAAAAACTCAACGTGGATCAATATCTTGAGCATATAATCACTGATAGAAAGCTAATGAAGATGCAACTTGTGTATGTGAACATATTGTTAAAAAAAGAACACTTGTCACCAACACATTATTAGAATAAAAATAAAATCATAAATTAAATTTTGTTTAGTAAAAATAAATTTTGGCTGGATTGTTAATAAGATTGATAATTTTGGTTTGATTTTTTTAATATGCAGTTAGGTTTGGTTTGATTGTAATAAGGTATTTTTACCTAAAACAAAGATCAATTTCTTTCCCTTTCATATTTATTGCCCACATTTAATTTTTAAAATCTTTATTCTTTAACTAACTTTAAAATTTGTTATTTTATTTATGTATCACTTTTGTTATTGTAATATAATGTCCAATTGTCCATTGTAAAAGGAAATATCACTAGTATATCATTTACACTTTTGTTAGTTTCACATCCTATAAAAAAAATCGTGGCAAGTTTATATATAGAAAAGCTAACATATGAAAGAGGAACTTTATAATTAATTAGTATCAATTAGAAATCCGATTAGCAATTGAAGGCGTATGACAACAATACAAGTCCAATTTGGTCAAAACAACATAAGATATATAGTACGATAGGCAACCAAGGATTAACAAAAGGTACCCAAAATCAAATTCTATTCTATTCAACATGAACCATCATCATACAAGATTCATAAACAAGTAGCCAAAATCAAAATCTGTACTATTCTAGTCATCATCAGCAATCACTTCCTCTTTTTCTGGGGAAGCTTCTTCTTCATCATCTTCAATTGTTTCTACTTCCTGTAAATCAAAAGGTACACATCACATTAGCCATTTATGATCACTACTAATCAAGAATACACAAAACCAAAAAATCTCCTGAAGTACTTACAGTTTTCTCATTTTCATTTCCACCATCATTTGTAGCTTCCAAAGCCTTTTGGTATTCTTCTTTAAGTTCAGCAGCCTTAGTAGTAAAAGGCTTCTTTTCCTGAAGAGAATCATCAGGATTTGGAGAACAATAAATCTTTAGATACTATTCAGCAAAAGAGCAAATTAGACATAACAGAAAGAGAATGTGTGAAATTTGCAACTCACTTCTTCTGTCATAGACTTCCACTTCTCACCTCCTTCCTTTGCAACCTGTAATTGAAAAGGGAAGCAAATAAATGTTAACCAAATAGTCCAATTTATGAAGCTAAAAATGATTCAATTAGATGTGTTCCATAAGGTAAAAAAAGTATACATTTGCAATTTTTTTGTTATCAGGGTTTGCTGCCTTGTATGTTACCCTGAATTCATCCCTACACAACAAGCATTTGTCTACATCAATACAATGTAAATAGAATAGAAAGCTATCATGAAATTTTGAGAGTAATCATGGCATTACATGAAGAGAAAGAATGCAGTGGGTGGCCTTTTAGGCTTGGTTGGATCCCTCACTTTCTTTTCTTTCTTCACTTTCTTGTCTCCAACTTTCACTAGCCTTTTTCTACACACGAAAATCGTTTAACATAAATAAACAACCAAAAATTGCGAGGAAAACGAATATCCCTGTACTAATCATAAATGGCGAAAATCCATAAATTACTTACTTCTCTGCAGGTTTCTTAGCAACTGGGTCACTAGCAGTTTCAGCCACCTGTGCCTCTGTAATCAACAATAAAGGGTGTAAATGCATGTTTAATTAAGAATCGAGAACGATTTAACCCAAATTTTATCGTGTTGAAACACTTTTACTTACCCAAATTCATTTTGATTTTGGCATCAAGACCACAATCGTGCATGCTAATCAGCGCCACAGCTACATCCTTGTTGCACGCTTCACTGTATAATACAAGTTCATTAAATTAATTTCATAACTTACAAATTAATACTACCAAACAAAACGCTAACTACTACACAAAACCAGAAAGTTTCCAGCTTCCAATTTCCAAATCGGTATAGATCATATAGATGTAACGCATTTCAACCGAAATTGATATGAGCATTCAATTTTATAGCAGGTGTTGCAAATAATTAAGATGATATTGAACTTATAACAGTATAAGCAATACAAGGAATGACGACAACAATACCATCGGGTGAATGCGCTGCCATTTTTTGCTCGTTTGAGCGTAGTTGAAGTAGTCTCCACTTCGACTCTCTTTCTGCCTCGGGCTACGTTGATTGATTTTGAAGAAGCATCACCAGTACCCGCCATGGAAGATAGCTCGAAGGTTAATTTTGTGTGTGTGTGAGTGAGGGGAAGAGGGAGAAATTGCTGGTGGAGAAATTGGGGGAAAAGGGTTTAAGAAGAGGGGAAATTTTCAGGAATTTAGCGCCACAAGTGCCGCCAATATTTCAAGGGTGAAATTTTTACTTAATGCTCAAATTCAAATTCACGCGGATCGCCTATGTGGCAGAAATTTCGTCAATTGCATTTTTGTTTTTATTAATTTTTTTTAATTTTTAATAGGCCAAACTTGGTCTACAAAACATATTTAAAAATAGGATTACACTTAGATTTATTTTAGAAAAATGGGTCCATTATGTTCCGAATATCTTCAAATCTATGCTGTGACTTTATCATTTTTTCAGTAATTTTATTCATTAAATTAAATATCTTCTACAAACACGTAACATATGAGTATGAAAATCACATCTGATGTGTGTAAATTGTAATACACATTTACGGATTTACCCACTTTAACATTCAAATGACAACTAGTGTAGTGCTTCTTGTTCTGAGTCGGATGTTTTTCTAATTAATGTAACGAACACCCAATGTTCCAACCCAATTAAGCCCAATGGCCCATCAGATTATTCGGGCTAACCAATACCCAACCCGTTTGGTCATTTGGTAAATTCAATTTGAACGTGTATCTTGTCCATTTAATATACCTATATAAATGGATGGGATCTCCATGTATTCGATGAATAAAAAGACATTTGGTATGTTGTAAAATAGAAGTCCTCGTTTAGTGTTGAATTGAAGGTAAATGAGTAGTTTTCTATTGTTATCATTAAACAACAAATTAAACAAAAAGTCTTATTTGCATGTATGCTTACAACAATCACCACTAGTGGTAGCATCAATCTAACAATCCAAAATGTTTAAAAGATATCTTTAAAACATGAAGTTGAATTCAAATTTCAAATTATCCCATCAAATAATTGAGTGTTATGCGAATAGAAAACATCCAAATTTTTTGGATACATTCAATCGTTGTCCAATTTGCAAAAGTAGGGTAGGATTATCACTTCCTTTACCAGTAGAAGGAATCTATTACAAGTCAAGCCCTAAGAACTATTTTCCTTACTCTATAATTATTTTGTTTTCTTTGTTATTTATAAATATTATACTTAACTAATATTTATTTTAATAAAAAACTATAAAATAATAATATAATAACCTACTTGGACCTTTGTGTTTAGCCGCCATGGTAGTGGTCAAGTGGCCATCGACTCATAGACGATTTCAGATTCGTTTAAAGGTGGATAAAACTTATATGTAACAATAAATGATTTTACAACTATTGTGAACACTTTTTTTTATAAAGATCATAAGTTAGGCTACTAAAATACCTAAATAAGATGGTGTATTCCAAATTTGATTAACTTTTTGACATTATACTAAATATTAAATGAAAACTCAACAACAGTAACATTTACTAGTATATCTATACTATAACAAATTTACCAAAATAAGGACATTTCGAAATCTCATTTGCACACCTTGTGGACAGTGGACACCAAATGACTTCAAACCACATGAGTTCCTTTACCTAAGATTAATTCTTTACATACATAGAAAGTTGGTTTTGCTTATTTCCGCTAGTAGAGACATTTCACAACTTATGAACATTCTGCGACATTTGAAGTTAGCTTTCATAGTCTATGGTTTTAGGTTTCACACAATTTCTACAATTACGAATTAGCTTATTTAAGCCATTTTCACTTCATTTTTATTCTTCATAACATGCCATAATGTCCCTACACCCTTAGCCTTTTATTCCTCTCGGGATATTTCCTTCAAACTTGTCAACTATATTTCATGCACTCGAGCATCATCGATAGTAATTCATAATTGTGTACGAAAAAGATAGGCAATTAAATCCAAAACCCTTGCACCAATTTGCTAAAACACTCGGCGGCTTTATATTATCAAATCACTGTTGATCACCATTCCAGTGGTTTTCCAACCCATGTGCAATTGTGCATTCATCTGTCTAATTACCCCACTTGCAGTCACCTCTTTGTTCTCTTACCCTATATAAAGACACAAGGGCGATATATACAATCAAACTCACCAAAACATGAAAAAGTCTCATCTAAACTCTTCTGTCTTCTTCTTCGTTCTTATTCTATCAATTTCTGTTTCATGGGCAGCATTATCTTCCATTCTTGATGTTACACCAGGTCCTGAAGATTTCTTAAGCTGCATACGATCCTACTCCAACAATTTGACATCCATCTCCGAACACATTTTTACCTCTGGCAATGCTTCTTTCTTACCCACTTGGCAAGTGCATGTGCAAAACACTAAGTTCCTTAAACCTTCCACTCCTAAACCATCAGTCATCGTGACACCTGTGGACGAAACCCTTGTCAAAACATCTTTACACTGCGCCAAGAAACATGGCTACGAGCTCAGGATGAGGAGCGGTGGCCATGACTACGAGGGTCTCTCCTACACCGCTGATGTTCCATTTGTGATGCTCGATTTCACTAAAATGAGGTCTATAGACGTGGACGTAGCAAACAGTACTGCTTGGGTCCAGGCAGGCGCTGCACTTGGTGCAGTCTATTACGCTATTTCTCAGAAAACCGACACCTTGTATTTTCCGGCAGGTGTTTGCCCCACGGTGGGTGTTGGCGGTTACATGGGCGGTGGTGGCTATGGAAACCTGTTGAGGAAATACGGTAGTGCTGCTGATAATGTTATTGATGTTCGCTTCATGGATGTCAATGGAAATATTCTCAACAGGAAGACGATGGGTGAAGATTTTTTTTGGGCGATTCGAGGAGGTGGTGTTTCCAGTTTCGGAATTGTTCTTGCATGGAAGCTGAGGTTGGTTCCTGTTCCAGAAAAAGTAACCGTCTTTATACTGAATAAAACTTTGGAACAAGGGGCAACAGAACTCTTTTATAAATATCAATCCGTTATACCAGCTATTGATAGAAATTTACACATGAGAACACAGGTGTTTGGTGAATATATCGGCAACACTACCAAGAAAACCGTTCGAATTATGTTCGAAGGAATTTATCAAGGCACCATCAACACATTGCTTCCATTGTTGAACAAAAAGTTTCCGGAGCTCGGTGTTACACGAGAGATTTGTGAAGAAGTGAGAAGCATTCAGTCGACCCTTGTGTTTTGGGGCTTGCCAAGTTCCGCCCCAATTGAGATTCTCTTGAACCGATCAGCCATAGCTAAGCTGAACGACAAAACTAAATCAGACTACGTCCGGACACCGATCCCCATTAACGGGTTGAGAAAGATTTGGAGAAAGCTTATGGAAAATGACGAATCAGGGCAACTTATGATTAATCCTTTTGGTGGAAGGATGGCTGATTTCTCAGAGACGGAAATTCCATATCCTCATAGAGCTGGAGTGTTGTTACAATTTCTCAAGACTGTAAATTTTCAAGATCAAACTTCAGATACGACCCCTACATCGCTCAAAAGGATAGCATGGTTGCAAAGCTTGGATGAGTTAATGACGCCTTATGTGTCGAAGAACCCTAGAGAGGCATATGTCAACTACAATGATTTGGATTTGGGTGTTGGAAGTGCTAATTACAAAGAAGCAAGTGTTTGGGGTGAGAGGTACTGGAAGAGGGACAATTTCAAGAAGTTGATTCGAATCAAGGCCAAAGTTGATCCGTTGAATTTCTTTAGGCGTCCACAAAGTATTCCAGTATTCTCGACGCCTCTCTCAGACATATGAAGCTCTTTGAATGAAGATCGATCCAAAATATGGATTTAATTTGTCTTTTTTCAATAAACTAGCTATAAGTCTCCTTTTGGTCGGTTTCTTTTTTTTTTTTCAAATATTTCAGACTCTAATATTTCGTCTTTAAATAAATAAATCTAGTTTCTTTTCCTATTTTGTCCCAAGTTAAAAGTTGGGTTTATAACAGAAAGTGTATCCACCTTTAGCCTCTAATCATTATTATGAAAGAGACTTCCAATAGTTTAAATGAATAAATCTACCTTATTTTCCTATATCACATGACAATCACTTGAGTGGCCCAACTATTGACAAGACAAAGAGTACAATCACCATAGGGAAAAATTATGAGAGTGAATCTCTGCATGCTAAATGTTTCAATAATCAGGATGGCTCGAAGGGGTGCATAACATATTCTAGACTACTTAGTTCAATCGACAAATGTCAAAGATAAGACCCCTCCCCCCTATGACTCAAAACTACGCTACAATGGATAATTAGGCAACCCATATTCATTAATTTATATGACATGAATTTGTAAAACACAAACACATTACGAAGTATTATTTTGGGTAACAATAAAAGCACAACATGTAATTAATTTGTATGATACGTGACACCACACGAATGTTCACGTTTTTAACCATGTTATATGTTGAAAGTTTGATCTATCTATCTATGCAAGCTTGTTAATGGAAAGATAGTTTAGGATTGTGTTGTAAAATTGTAAATTGAATTGTTTCCTTGCAAGGATAAGTGAACTGATCGGTAGACTGCAGCTACTGAATAGTTGTTGGAGGATGCTGATTGTCAAAGTGGAAAGTGCAAGGTTGATATCTAAAGATGCGGAACATGCCAAGCTTATTTGTGAATATGAAGAACTGCAGGGACTGCTTTTGTAAATGTGCTAAATACACAGATGTCACACTTAGAAAGTTGTGATATACAGTATATATGTAACATATGTGCAGCAAATGAGAAAAATAATAAGGGTTTTTCCTATGATTTCTTCCTCTTCACTAAACTAAAGTGTTCTAAACTCCATTTTTAGGTTTTACAATTTAAATAGTATATATTTGTAACATCCATAAAAATTCATAAAATTTTAAACTTTTAAAAACAACTTTTTTTTTTTAAAATAAGTGTTTACAAAGACCATTGTTTAAAAATCATAATCGATTTCAACATAGTTTTCAAAACATTCATATTATCAAAGTTTCCCATAAATCATAAGTCCAAAACGCGATGATGTGTACGGTCACACCTTCACCTTGACACGATCCACTGAAGTACCTGAAACCATAAACAAAAATTGTAAGCACGAAGCTTAGTGAGTTTCCCCAAAGTACCAACACCCAAACAGATAACATATACAAATAAACAGCATACATGCAGAGCTTTCAGCTTGTCTGGACCGCCTTACCGGGCCTTCGCCTGTCTGGACCGCTCACAGAACCTTCAACATGTCTGGATCGCCTCACCAGGCCTTCATCCTGTCTGGACCGTTCTCCGGGCCTTCGGCATAACTAGTCCGCCTCACAGACCTTCAATCTATCTGGGCCGCCCTGGGTCTATTGCCCTTCAACACAAAGCATGACTGACTCAACCCAACAATACATACAAACCATGTCGACATATACATAACAGATAAGCATACATATAACATACTGATATATAAATATCACCGGGTTTGTTGACTGGTAACACAGAGCAGTACAATCTCAACCTAACCACACTACATCAACACATGCGACTGGTAAACATATAACCAGAACATGTAACAGGCAGTTCGAACAGATCACTAAGCATAACATCATCCTATCTATCAGGATACAGATCTAACAAATAACCACATACACAATTATACGATAAATCGGGTTAACAATCCAAAGGGCCGACATTGGTGCCTTCGACCTGTAAATATAGTGAGGAAAACTCATCTCGAATGTAAAAGCTCACTGAAAGAAATCCCTAGTTGTTGCCTTGCCGACTTCCCAAGCTATCAAACCAACAACACACCCAATTAGCAATTAGGTTTCGTGATATAATCCATAATCCTTACTTGGGGTAAAACGATCATTTTACCCCTGACCCAACATGAACCAAAACTGAGCCCAAAACCAAAAGATCCACAAAGGCCCACTAATGGCCTAATCTTATGAATTGGGCCCAACCCCTTTATAGGTCTTATCCTAAACCCATAATTTTCTTAATTACACTTCTGATTACCTCAAGTACCCTTTAAAACAAACTTGTTCAAAGACATAAATCGAAAGTCAAAGTCAACGGTCTAAGTTACCCAACTCGCCGAGTTGTCCTTCAATTTGTCGAGTTTCTCCATCAACTGCACAGATCGGGAAAAACTAAGTCAACTCGCCGAGTTGACCAACAAACTCGTCGAGTTCTACTAAGAACCAACAACTTAATGCATTAAGATGCCTTCAACGAATCCAAGCGCTCTAAAGCTCATATCTCGACCAAAATGAGATCAAGAAGGGTAAAGTTTCCAACTTTACCCCTAGGAACCACGTAAATGGGCCCAAACACTAAACCCCATACTTAAGAGAGAGAGGGCTTAATCATTAAGCACTTAATCATCAAAGGCAAAACCCCAAAATGTAGATCTGACCCCGTAAGGCTAGATGGCCACGTAAAGTTTACAACTTTACGCTTAAGCATGACTAGGAGGAGCTCAAAAGCTCAAAAAAGGCTAAATGAAAGACTTAATGAATGCATGAAGCCCTTAAATCCATAAAGTTGGCACCTTTATGCCAAAAGAGATCCTGTAGACTTTAGATCTGAAAGGATAATCAATTGGGACATCCTAATCCCCATCATCCACCAACATAAACTCTAACCCAAGAAGAGATCTAAAAAACTAATAAGTAAAATGAGAACTTGATACCTCAAAAACTTGGCAAATGAGACAAAGATTCTAGATCCAAGACTTCTTCTTCAAGCCAAGAAACTTCTAATTCCTTAGCTCCTTCAACAAACACCAAAAATGAACTCCCAAGGCTCTCACCAAGCTCTCACACTCGACAATGGAAGATAAGGCTTGATTTTTAGGGTTTCTGGACAGAGAAGGCTGATAAGGAGGGCAGCCAAAGAACTTAAGGCCTTTAAATAGGGTGAAACATCCTAAAAATTAGGGTTTCTCAATCAGCATCCAACTCGTCGAGTTCCCTTCACCAACTCGTTGAGTTGGTTCATAAAAACGTGCATCCCAAAAGCCTCCAACACGTCAAGTTTCCCACCATCAACTCGTCGTGTTTGTCCTTAGGAAAGGGAATTTACTTCCACAATTAATCTTCTAGATTTCGGATGTTACAACTCTCCCCCACTTAATTTAGATTTTGTCCTCGAAATCTGTCCTTACTAAGACTCATATCATATCAACATCTCGAGGAGAGTTATCGCAAATTCTGCACATAAAACGATCTTCCACAATTAACTCGTCGTGTTGGTCCCTAGGAAAGGGAATTTACTTCCACAATTAATCATCTAGATTCCGGGTGTTACAACTCTCCCCCACTTAAATTAGATTTCATCCTCGAAATCCGTCCTTACTAACACTCAAATCATATCAACATCTCGAGGAGCGCTATCATAGATTCTGCACATAAAACAACCTTCCCAAAACAATCAAACCCAAACAGAAACTGCCAACCTGAAGAAGAACAACCCATAATCCCATGCAAAGACCCAACCTTATATATCCGAACTTGGGTATCGAACTGGTCTGACTCCCTGACGGACCTCCCAAACTGAACTGATTGCTAAAACCATGACACTTATCTATCGAACAATATATTCAACCTTTGATGATAACAATTCCGTAAACACACAAGAGATACAAAATACAGACTTCCTCGACTGACGGGTCGATACACTGCTGCTAAGAGCCTGAAACCCCATCACTTTCCCTTCATTCACAAGATGGAGCCATGTTGGAGCGCAAACACATAAGCTATATTATGAACCCTCCAACTGATGCCTTTGCCATATAGATTTCTTAACTCCCCTTTGCTCTAGATACGGACCTTGCACAGACCCACTTGCGATTCCCAAAACGAGTTCCCACCAAAAGCCTGCTCAAAATGGCTACACATGATACATCCTCATGGAACCTTCCCTAAAACTGATGAATATCCATTTGAATCTACCCCCATTCCCTAACTGGGACACTACCAGAACCATGAAGAATGTTCCTCAAAACACACCGACTGCGAACTTAACCTAAAATCGAACCATGTGATGAGCCCAAAAAAACTTAACAACCCTTGACTCTTTGCTATGCCATTACCAACCATTACTTCGCTAAGTAACGACGATCAAACCATGAACTTCTGCAATTCATCCGACCCTTACCAGCTCTGGTGCACCGCCACCTGGGCATCCACTCGATACAATCACCAAGAACTTTATGACTTACAACTGCATAAGCAATTTCCAACTTGAGGATCACAAATCTAACAACAGCTTGCGAACAAGTAGAATTATAATGCATACAACCTGCCGAGACTTTCTGATACATGAACGATACTTCCTTTAATCCTTACTATTTCCTTTATCCCACCAACATATTTACGACTCATCCAACCCTCCGTCAACGCGTTCACACCTAAAGCTCTACAAGAAGAAGAAATGAACCATCATGATCACTAGGCCCACAACCTATGACTGAAATGCTCCTGATAACCTACCAACACTACAGTTATCACATCATTCCCCTAATACTCTGGGCCTGAAGATGCCCACCTTATTCCATTACCTCAAAGGGACCTAATTGACTCCCTTATAGTGCCAACCGAGCACCACAAAACGGCTACCTATCAAAACATTACGAAACAAATTCGCACACGATCCACAGATTGGATAATGATCATACTCTTGGTCCAATTTGAAAACTATAACCCAAAAAGGAAGTTGCCCATAATTTGAGCCAAGTGCTCCAGTGCCCTCTTGCCCAGCTCACAAGGGGAGCCCCCATACCC